GACAGCGGGGCTACTCCTGAGCCTCCCCAGGCTCCAAGATCCCTCGGGATGTGCTTTTCCAGGCGAGCGGTCGCAGTTACATCATTTCCATGCGCTTTGCTCTGAAACAGAGCGAGCTGGAAAGCTCAGCCAGGTTCTGGAGTGTCCTTTGGGATCTCCAGCCTTGTAAAACACTCCAGGGCTGATTCCAGGGGGAGCTCGCCCGGGGCTGGCCGGGAGATGGAGCTGTTCGCCCGGCGATCCCGACCCCGGGCACGGCTCAAACCGCCCCGGAGGAGGTTCGGGCTCTCGCTTTGCGTTTCAAGCCTCTAAATCAGGCTATTCCTCCCCCAGCTCTCCGCAAACTGTGCAGCTGTGCGCCAAAATTCTTCTTTTCGCATTTTTTTTCCCGCAGGAAAAATATATTCCGTTGCCTTGGCTGGATGGGAGATGCTCGTTTGTGGAGGTGAGGGATGTTTATTTGTGGAGGTGGGGAATGTTATTTGTGGAGATTAGGGGTGCCAAACGCCGTGTGATGAGAGAACTGGAAGAGAGTATAAAAAAAACAACGCTCAAAATGTTATTGTATTTATATTTGGCTTGTATTTAGTTATTATCATCCTGATAAACACTCCCCATCCTGGCTTTGCAGCACAGCTCCTGCCCATGCCACAGGATTTGGAGCATTTAGCTAATTAATCTGGTTCAACAGATCACTCTGGGGGGCCAAGAGGGCTCCAGGGTTGTTGGATCCAGCTGTCCTTAAAGGACACAAAGGTTCAGACCGTGTCCCCATATCCTGTTTGGGTGCCCTCAAAAAACAGCTCCAATAATCACCCAAACCCCAATAGCCCCATGAAGGGTAGAAGAAGGGTGTTGAGTGTGCAAAGGGGGGAAATGTTATTTTTGAGCTCATTACTGCCAGTGTTGGTGTTTCCCCTGTTTGGGGGGGCTGGAGCAGCTTCCCTGTGCTGGGAGGGGGAAGGAAAGATGTGGGAGCTTGGGTTAAAAATTAGCATTTTTAGTGCTGCTACCGAGGTCAAAACTTTCCCGAGGAGAATTCATTGTGCAGGTGCTGCCAGCCCCTTCCTGGAAATATCCATGTATTGACCTTGGAAAACAGAGATTTTTTTTTCTCCATTGTCTTAGGGGATTTTTTTTTCCCCTTCTCTTTCGTGGGGGTGGGCATTTTTTCCTACCTTCTTTTAGGGGATTTTTCATCCTCCCACTGGGCTGCAGCTGGTCAGTGCCAGGTCTGTTGGGGGATGGGTCCTCTGGTTGTGTGGTGGTTGGAAAATGCAACTAAAGGTGGAAATTAA